GAAAGTTTCACCCTGGAATGTCAAACTTTCAATGCAAACTTTCAATGAATGTTTATTAAATAATAAATATAATTTAAGATTAATTAGAAAGACTTTCTACATTGAAAGTTTGCATTGAAAGTTTGACATTCCAGGGTGAAACTTTCACTGAAAGTTTGACATTCCAGGGTGAAAGTTTCACTGAAAGTTTGCACCAAACTTTCAACAAACTTTCAATTGTTTACCCAAAAATACTATAAAAATATGTATTTTTCTATTGAAAATTATGGATTTTCAAAGATTTTTTGATTTGTTTAATGTTTTCTGACCAGAATTTGTTCATTTTTCTACTGGGAAAGTATGGGTTTTTCAATACTTCTGACCAATTTTTGGTCATGTTTAATTCAATTATTTTGTTTTTTTGTGTTTTTGATAGGATTATAAATTTCATTTAGCATTAAAGCATGTTTCTTTGGGCTAGGATTACTAATTTCATAGGATTACTTGACAGGTTTCTCCTGGGTTTTAGGATTATTTTCTTGCTTGGGTAGGATTATTTCTCCAGTGTTGTGTCTTGTTTTGGTCTTGTTTTGCCAAGTCTTTGTCCTCAGGGTTGTTGGTTAAGATTACTGTTCTTTTTCTAGGATGCTTGGCTTTCTTGCATGTAATGTGGCTCCCTTGGACTGAGCACTTGGCAAAGACCAAAAAGCAGAAACAACCGATGAAGCAATAACCAGGAAGCTGTAAAAAAAATGAATACAAATATAGATTGAATTATTGTATTTATTAAACAAAAGGCAATATTGTATGGACCAAAGTTTCTGTTCCAAAGACAGCTGTCTCTTTGCAGTTGAAGTTTGTGGATTTTTTGGTCTAGGATTATTTTTGCAACTTCTAGGATTACTGGTTTTGGTGTAAACTTCTAGGATTGCTTCTGGCAGAGTTTTTGAGGTTAGGATTATTGGAAGCTTAGATCCTCCAACAGCAATACTTGCTCAAGCAAGAGCAAAATACCATACAGTGCCATGCCTCAGCCTAGAAAGAAGCCAGCACAAAGTGAAGAAACAGGGCGTTTGGCCTTGGAGGATGATGGAAAGCCAGATGCCTCTGACAAAGAGGAGGAAGGAGATGAGAAGGTGACCAAGGAGGCAAAGGGCAAGAAGAAGGCAAAGGAAGAGAAGTTGACCAAAGAGAAAAAGGATAAGAAGGAAGAAAAAGAAGAGAAGACCAAGGAGACAAAGGACAAGAAGAAGGAAAAAGAGGAGAAGACTAAGGAAACAAAGGACAAGAAGAAGAAAACTGAAGAGAAGAGCAAGGAGACAAAGGACAAGAAGAAGGAAACAGAAGAGAAGTCGAAGAAGGAGACAAAGGAGAAGAAGGAACATGAAAAGAAACCTGGTCCCAAAGCAAAGCCCAAGCCCAAGAGCAAGGGAAAGCCCAAAGAAGACCTGGCTTTCACTCCAAATGATGCAAAGGCATTTCACCACGCATGCTGCCAAATGGCGCATTTGAATTTGCATGTGTGGCGACATTTTGCACAAGAAGATGTGCCCCCAATTTTCCAAGTGACATCTAAGATGCACATGCTGCAGCACCTGACTGAGAATAGTGGGGCCTTGAACCCCAGGATGACCTGGTGCTATTCTCAAGAAGATTTCATGGGGGTGGTCCGGCACATGGCACAAAATTGTGCAGCTGGAACACCACCTTTGATGGCTGGAGCTAAGCTCATGGACCACTGGCTGATAGCTTTTGAATTGTTGCAATGATTGAAAGACTAAAAAGACTCAACTACTCCAATTTATACTTCGGTAGGATTATTGCACAATGTTGTAGGATTATTGCTCTTTTTGGACCAAGTTGGGTCACATTTTGAAGGTTCTGGATGGAGATGTGTAGGATTATTGCAAGCAGAAAGCAGGCCAACCAAACACATTTTCTATAATATTGATATAGTTTGTCTAAAGAAAAAGGTTGAAATTCAGACTTACAGAAAGAATTGTCTCAAGAAAGTAGCTTTAACAAGCAGAATTGCCCCAGGAACTGTTTCAAAAAATGTATTTAACAAAGAAATACTTCAAACAGTGTCTGAAAAAAGAAAAATTTAAAACAAAAATGACACCAAGAATTGTCTTTTAAAACTACAAATTATAGAATTGCCCCAAGAATTGTCCTGAAAAAAAAGTTAATTTTTGAATTGCCACCAGAATTGTCCTTAAAAAGAAGTTAATTTTTTGAATTGCCCCCAGAATTGTCTCAAAAATAGTTAAAGAAAATTAACTATTTCTTTCGAAAAAAAGTTGTTAAACAATTATCTAAATAGTTAATTTTTTTAGAGACAAAAAATTGTCTTGCCCGATCTATAGGGAATGACTTCAGCGTGGGCATTCCAGGTATGTCATCAGATGAAACACGCACGACCCGGGGGTTCTCGGACAGCAATGCAGCGATCATAGCTTCAGCCCAGCGCTCCGCAGCGGATGTAGACTTGATTTCTTCCCAAAGGAGCTCGGAGGCACCGGCCAGGAACAAGGCAGCAGCGAGCCGGAGTTGATGGCCTTGCTTCTGTTTGCGGGCGTCATACCGCAATGGAGTCTGCGCTGTGGAACTGCCCCCCGCAGCGTCTGTCCATTGGCCAATAGCAAGGCGCTCGGTGTCTGTGAGCCGCGCAATCCCTGCCAAGGTGGGGCACCACCCGCCTGAAACTGTACGAGCTAAGGTTCTGCACGTCCAGGACGCCCTCGAAATAGGGTCGTACAACTAAGGAATTGCCCAATTGATACGGGGACTCCAGTGTCCGAGTCGAAGGCCAGGAAGTGCCAACGTCGATACCCCTCGCCATGGCGTGGACGGACCTTGTCCAACTGGCGGTTCCAAATGGCATAGAGGTCGAGGCTGGCCAAATGTCGAGGGATCGACCAGGTGAATCCATCTCGGGTCCCGGTCTTGCCCTTAAAGCACCAGAAGATAATGATGGCAGAATTGGCACCAATAAGGTAACTTCGTTGCACGTGGCAAAACCGAATAAGGCCAAACACCATGGCAGCAGCCGCCATCAAAATAGGCCAGTGAGCGTGCTCTGCCGTGTACTCCAGGACCCCCAACAAATGGGTCACCATGCCCGGCTCCAGCGGGGCGGCCTGGGACTGCCCCTGTCCCAGCCGAGTGCTCCGGACAGGAGCCGGCTTGGAGGCTTCGCTCAAATCCAGTGGTAGAAGGTGGCCAATGTATGGGGGTCAGGAAACTTCAACCCCAAATGGTCCATATAGCGCACCAAGTCCTTCCAGGTATGGACCACGCGCTTGATGGTAGCCGCCTCGGTACGGGCACATAGCTTCTCCAAGCGTGAGGCCCAATTGGCCATGTATTCGTCTCGTCGATCGGGTGGTGGAGGCATCAATGTCACCATAATACCCAACAGATCACGAATAAACAGAGCGGCGACCCCGCCCTTCGCCTCAGCCTGCTGGGCTGGCTTCTTCTTGGGCTTGACAGGCCCCGCAAACGAAGACGGCTTCGGACGGGCCACCGAAGACGAAGGCAATGAAGGAGCCGGAGCACTGGATGGTTGTGGCGGGCGAGACTGGCGAACTGTCTCTCTCGCAAAAAGGTGCCGAACCAGGGCTGCCATCCCCGGTTCGCTCTCACGGCGAGCGAGATCCCACCCATCGGCCACTGCGCGACCGGCTTCACGAAGTGCTTCCTCGTAGGAGGTAAACCAAAAAGCCAAATCGCTTGCGCTCTGAATCCCCATCCTGGCACACCAGGTATTCAGTTTCTCCTGCTCAACCGCGCGTCGAGCACTTGCGTCAGCCATGGCTCGCACACAAAAAGAATCTTGCGAATCAGCGACTCTGATTCACACGGAGCGACACTCCTTTTTGGCTTGAGCCTCAAGCTAAAAGGAGTGAGTGAACTGAATGACATCAAATAATTCCTCATCACCGACCCTGCCTACCTTGAATGAATGAATATATATGAGCTTCACCCCGCCTATTTCCAAGTCCAGAGTCAACAACATTCACCAACCCTCAATATAGCTCTGGGCATCTCAACACAAGAGGTGTGGCAACAAAATCTCTGAAGTCCACCCCAAAATGTGGGTGTCATCTAGATCTTCCAACAACTCGACCTGGAAACTCAGAAACCCTGTGCCTCCATGAAGGGGGTGGGCTTCAAACTTCCAAACCACCGGGTTCCCCGGTCTCATGACCCAAAGCTTCGGACATCCTGGTGATGGATCAGCCAAGCTCCCAGAACAGCTGGTGACATGGATTATGTGGATTCAAACTTCATTTGGATTCAAAAGATGAAGGCAATGGTCATAGATGGTCTATTGGGGAATCCTTCCATGTTTCGAGCAATATAATGACGAATGCTGATTCCTCAGCTTCGGAAAATAAAGGCGAACCAAACGTATTTAGTAGAGTGTCCCCAATCCCCAAACAAGGTGACCCGCACATTCTCTGGGACCATGCCAGCTCAGGACTCAGCTCAGGCTCCATGGTCATCCGTGCCAAGTCATGCAGCATCCAACCATGATGTTCCTCCTCCGAAGGAATCCACCGCCGCACCGCTGCGCGCAAGACCTGACACCAGACGTCGCCGTCAGCGAAGCAGCGCGGGTCGTGTGAAACGCCGTCAGAAGGCTGTCCACAAAGCCTCAAGGTACTCCTCAAGGTCTTTGTCAACCTTTACTCGCTTGCTTCAGCAACATGTCTTGAGTCTTCCACCTTCATGAGTGGCCAGTCTAAGAACCTTCATCTGATGTGTGTATGCCTCTGAACACCTACTCTTCAAGAAACCCAACGACATGATTTTTTGGAATGGTTAGGAGTTAGGACAACGATGAACTCCATACAAAACTGGACACCAGGCTCCGTTTTCCGGCAAGGCCTCATGTGGGGGTCTGCCAGTTCACCACTGCCCTAAGACTCCTGGGACCCCTCCAGTTGGCGGGGGTCGGACCCGAACCAAACCCTCTCCAATTGAGGGCTCGGAGTCTTAGGGATGATGATATCGTCGTGGTTGTATTGCCCAAGAACTATATGAAGTTTTACTGGTAGTTCTTTGACACTGGCAGTTGACATCTACCTGATCCAAGCAAGCAACCACCCCAGTCCAAATGCACCCACGTACTTCTCTGCACAAAGGCACCTGAAGCCATGGGGTCTCAGCACGCTGGACGTTCACATACCTCGATGTCCCTTCGGTTCCATTCGGTGGTCCGGGAAAGATTCACGGTGAAGCTCCTGGGGTGTGCTACTTCGTCGATGGAATTCATGAAACTTGTTCAACGTGTTTTTTGATTTCTCAGGGGTCTGCAGTGAGTCTGCAGGTTTTGTCAAACTCTGGAAACATGCCCGTTCTCCTCTTTTGCATTCTTTTGCCAAGTGTTTGCTACAAGACCAATTGCTGGATCGATGTGTCCGTTGAATGGTCGATCACTATCCCAGGCGCCATGAGCCCAGTGCCCAAAGCAAGGCTTGCCGCCCCTCACCGATGAGCTGCGCCTCAAGCAGGACGCCTTCGCGGAAGGCCACGGCTGGGAGACTTCGGCGGGGGCGTGGGTGCTTTTGGTACATGAAGCAAGCTATGCAACATGTGTGCAATATGGTTTTGAATCACAACACCTTCAAGAATGTTTGCAGCATGTGTGCAAGTTCTGAATGGTTTTGAATCACAAAACCTTCAAGAATCTTGTGCCGAAGAGTTTGGGTGTGCTTCATTGTGTTGGTGCCGACGAGATTTCAATCTCCTAGACTTTTGGTGCTGTCTTCAGATCCAAGCACTTTCTGAGGGCATTGTTCCCCAGAAGAAGGGGGTTGTATGGGGGTTGCATATTTTCATAAATCTACTGACTGTAGATCTATTCAGAAATAGGTTCCCCAAAGCCATGTTCCACACGCGTTTGGCAAGTGCTCAGGGAACACACTGGTGGCATTTCGGGCCCAAGGTCATCCAAGGTCCAAGGTTCTGGTATGGTTCTGGTCTCTATATTTAAAAAAAACACCTCAGTTTGTTCAGCCTTTTTCCCGATGTTCCCATCTCCATCCCCCTCCGATTTTCCCGTCCGCCAGGCCTTTCACTTCGGCCGCCGAGACGAAACCTTCATTCAAAGACTCCATTAGATCCTCCGTTGGGGCGACAAATGAAGGGGCCCCCAAACAAGGAACATTTGCAGCACTGGTGGAAAAAAGTGTGGGGACCTGGGACTTTTTGAGCGTTTTGGTGTTATATGGTGGTATGCTCCGCCTTTCGTTGGCTGTTCAACAAATAATGTTGCTCCATGGTCCATGTATTAGGAAAAACTGCATCTGGTCGAGGGGGGCCTCCTTTTTGGTCCAGACCTGCGAACCCTCAACAGCTGAGAGCAAACCTCTGACGAGGTCAGTCCCTCTCTCTCAGTGCCGAACCAAGTCCTGCAATCGCTCTGCCGTTAGTGGGGTAAAGGCCAGCTGGCGCACGGCGTTGGTCGTGAGGCATTGATAGCCTGAAAAATCGGTTATGCTGGAGGGTTTGCAGTCAACAAGTACCAGGATAGCAACACTGACAAAAAAGTAGAAAAGGAAGACGGCAAAGAAGACCTGACAATTCACAGAAAAAGAGCAAAGATTGATTAACAAATCAGACATGAAGCAAAGCCGGACCAGTCTAAAGAAAAACAAGGAAAAGCAAGACCAAACAAAAACACAAACCAAGAAAACAAGAAATATAAGAAAAACAGTAAGGTCTATATAAAGAAAGAACGCAAAGAGAAAAGAGAACACGGACGAGAAGGGTCTAAGGGTCTGAAGTTTGAGAAAAAATATAGTAGCAAGAAGCTAGTAGAAACAAATCTCCCGATGGCCTAGAATGATGTGAACGTGAACATGAGCGGGGCCGGCTTGTTCCTGATGACGCTCGATGTCGGCCAGCCGTCACATTTGCAACTAGTAGCGTCCTTGCTCCTAGTAGCAATGCCAGGAGCCCCTAGTAGCGTCCTTGCCCCTAGTAGCGATGCCCTTTGCTCCTAGTGCGATTGCTTTTCATTTCGGACCGTCAGTCATGAACTTTTGCGTCGACCCCCCTGGCCCTGGTCCCTCCTGCAACGATGCTTTATTGAGCACATTGTCCCTTCAAGCGTTGGGCCCGCGTGGCGTGCCTGCGCTCATGAGGTAGTAGAAGATGTGGTGGTCATTGGTGGTCAAGTGATCACTTGACTTTTTTGCTTTTGGTGCTAGAATTTCAGGCAACACATGAAAAGGCAAACTTCTGAAGAACAAGTCGATCACCTTGATCAGAACCGCAAGAGTATAAGAACAAAGCCTTCGAGGATGTTCGCTGGACACGCTTTGACCCACGTTCTCAGCCACGTTTCAGCACCATTAAATGTATTTACGCGGTGACCTTGACCCGCAAACTTGCACTTTTGGGGCTGGATGTTTCTCAGCAAAGGATATCCGCAAAATTCTGCGAAAATAAACATACGATGGGAGAAGATGTCATACAATAACGAACCAGTTGTGCAAGGTGAAGTTGAGAACTTTTGAGACACTCCTATGGCGCACCTCCAACTTCACCATCTCTGCTCACTGATTTTGCTGTCACATCCGTCTCCATCCAGCAATCTAGAGTCCGGTCCAAACGCTGCAGTCAAATGGGTTCGGCAACACCTTGAAGGATCCGTATTCAAATCCCATACCTCTCTAGGGTTCTTCTCTACAGTTGTCGCCTTGATCTTCTGCAAAGCTAAGTGAGATTCGGGAAGAAACATGGAGAAACCGCTGCATCACTGCGCTAGTTCATGCCTCTAAGTTCGGGCGACGAGTCGCAGATCCACCGGCCTGGGTCGGTCATGTTGACGTTTCTGGCGATCCGTATTTCCTTTTTGGAATGATTTGACAGTGAACGGATGGCAGCAATATGTGGATCAGACTCACATGCAGTTGGGTTGTTGCCATTGGACGAGTGTCACCTATGTTACGCAAAAGTTTGTGGCTGCTGAGAACTGCCACATGCAGAGCAAAAAGTAGTATGTTGCACGTGGTGCCTGCAGAACATGGGGGACTACAGGGTGCCTGGTGTTCATGGCAACTAAACGATGCAATTAAAAGCCACGGCAATGTTGTTCCACACCAAGAATGGTCCGGCGGAGCGCTTCACTGGGTGGCAAACGTTGCTTTCTGACGCCGGTTTGAAGTCTACCTTCGACCATGTCTCTGGTCAACCTCATTCAATAGGAGGTCGCGGCAGCCTCTGAATGCCTCAGGAGTGTCTCCGGCATCAGCACACCTGGGCATAACCGTTGAGCCACCTCTGACGTCATTGGAGTTCTGCCTCTCTCAAAGGGCCCTGTGGGCCTTGGACAACGCCTCAGCACTTGATTGAGGCGGCGGCGCAACTGTCGGCCACACCGACTGCTGCTGCTGCTGCTGCACTGATGACTTGGGTGCACTCACCGGTGAGTGCCTTTTGTATGGAAATGCTTCTCGTGCGATGGACTCTTCACAGGTCAGCTGTCCGTATCCCAGTTCGTCAACCGGAGTCTGGAGAAGAACAAGGATGCGCCATACTCAAGCAACGTACCCCGAGGACCTCTCACCTTGGAAAATGTTCTTCATTCTGAAGACAGGACTCCAATGGTCTCAGGTTTAAGAGGTAACAAGGGAAGGCAGGCATGACCGACCACAATGCATGTTGGGCAGGACGTGCCAATGGTTCGCAGAGTTAATCAAAGGTAAAACATCAACCATAACTGCCAGCACTGCCCGAAGACGAAATCCGAGTGAAAGAGAGAGAGAGAGAGGGACATGAACCACCACTGCATATCAAGGTTCAAGCAGCAAATTTAGACTTGTTGATTGTTCTGGCATTTCTGGTAAACAAAAACGACCACCACGCGAAGGTCAAAGAAGAAAGGAAGAAAGAAAAGAACGAAAGAAAAGGAACCAAAGAAAGGTCTCTATCTATCTATCTATCTATCTATGGTCCAAACAAGAAAACGCAAAGACAAGAGACAAGGGAAAGAAGAAACAGAAGAAAGGTCTAAAGGCTTTTCTAAGAGAAACAAACAAGAACACAAGAATTGAAAGAAAACAGGTTGGTCGACGGAGAGCGACCAGCTTCTAGGTTGGACTCTCCCTGAACAAACAACGGGATCGACGAATCGAATTGACACGAGTTTGGTCAAGATGGGCTCAAACCCTTCACTGTTGAGTTTTGTTTGCCAATTTCCTTTGTGGACACACTACAAGGGGTGTCTTCTTTTGGAGCAACCCAAACCCTGCAGGTTTGAGAATTGCTTGTCATTCTTCACGACATGAGTGCCAGTACCTGTGAACATAGCACCCGATATCGGAAAGTTACCCACAAATTCATTGGAATGTTGCTACAGTGATACCATACAACTGCAAAGCATGTCCCAACTGGTCTGTGCCTGCGCAAGGCAAAGCAACAGGCTTGGGCCATACTTAGCCACAAACAAACAGTCGTCTTAGGGAATGCTCCGGTGCGCTACTCTTGACAAATTCGACGCGATAAGACACACGTTCTGGTCATTTCATGCATTCCTGGAGGTTCCAGATTGATTCCATCTGACTTCGGCTCCGGGTGCTGAAGGTGTCTTCAGCAAAGCGTCGTGCATCAGCCCGCCACCCACTTCTTTAAGCGAAGTCACCGTAAGCACATTGTATCCCATAGTGTAGTTCTCCTCAATGGAGAACACATGACATATGTGACAAGTCTTGTCCTGAAATCTTAAACGACCAACAACAACAACAACAGCAGCAACAACAGCAACAGCAACAGCAAACAGCAACAGCAGCAACAGCAGCAACAGCAACAACAGCAACAACAGCAGCAACAGCAACAACCAAAAACGATACCAACACATGCTGTGGTCAATCTTGATCACACTGAGCATGTATAATATGGGGGTGTTTCAGATGGTGAAAGCTCTCTTCTGATACTCATGGTGCTTTTGATCCAATCTCTTGGTATTTCCACCTGCCAAAAACCACCCCTGCGCAGTCCAAACGGCCGTGCTCTTTCTCCGGCCACGTCTCGAACACTCACAAAGCCGTCACCGTCGCGGTCCGCAGAACGGAAGGCCATGAGAAGCTGCTGCGCTGCAGGCCTCGGTGTCGCGGAGGGGTTTGGTGGAGAGTTTGCCCAAGGACTCGTGTCCGTTTGAGCCCCTAGTAGCATCCTTGCTCCTGGTCCTAGTAGCGATGCCAGGAGCCCCTAGTAGCTTCTTGTTCCTAGTAGTAAGGCCAGGAGCCCTAGTAGCATCCTTGCTCCTAGTAGCGATGCCAGGAGCCCCTAGTAGCTTCTTGTTCCTAGATCTTTTTTGGTGTCGCTTGGTGAAGGGAAAATAAGGCAGATCCGATGGTTTCTAAAGCGGCCACTGACAGTTCGTTGGGGAGTTGCCTCATTCTAGGTGCATGTTCAGATGCCATGCCCAAGTGTCAACAGCTCTTTGCCTCTTCTCTTTGCTTGTTTTGAGTGGGTACAGCATGGTACAACCACGTGATTCTATATTATAATATATTACTTTTAATATTGTTATCATCATTGTTCTTAATTATATAAATATGTATATACTATATATATATAATTACTTGTGACTTCCTGAAATCATCATGGAAGTGGATAGAAATGGCCACTGGAAAATGACCATGAAATCCAAATACCAAACAGGTGATGAACTTCACTTCCATGTTAGTGGCTCCGAGTGTGTGAATCCATAGTTGTGGCGAAGCAAATCAAGTATTGGATCTATAGTGTCGGGAGCCCCCTGCTACCTGCTCACCTGTCACCTGGCTCGCTGATTGTTGAGATGCAAATCTGGTCCATGAGCACCTTACAAAGGAGAGCCCTGAAACAAGACACAGCCAACACGCTCAAGGATCGTAGGCTTCCAAGGTTGTCTAAGCATTTCTAACCTGAATATTCTGTTACTGGAACAGAGTCCTATCTCAGGTTGACAGCCTGTGAAAGTCGCTTCTTTTCCATGGCCTTTACCTACGTACTGCTACACTGCCCGGCACTTTGTGCCCATTTCGTAGCGAAGAAAAAGTTCGGTAGTCTACCCTACAACAGGGAACCTTCCCTTGAATACACCCAAGAAAACTGAGAAGCAACCTGAAGGCCACCCCTGTACCTAAAACCGTGAAACATCATGAATCTACGTCCAATGAAGTTTAGTTGGAGTTCAATCCAAGCCACTCTTGGTCCTCCTCATTATCGTCCCACAGTTGGATTTCCAAGGATGGAAAAATCAGGTTGAAGTAATGCCGAAATTCCGCCCTTGGCTGGCTTGCCAACACAAGACAAACATGTTGCATGGAGGACCTCATGCGAAGACCAGTGGCAAATGAAATGCAAACGGTTTGCCATCCAATGGACTGATATTGGCAAAAGTATGCAAAAGTGGAAAGCTCGAAAATTTCCAAAGATGGTGGCACAAGGAAGTTCAATAAATTGTACTGGGAAAAATTGTTCCATATTGATCCTAATCTATCCCAATGAGTCACCATTTCCACATGTGCACATCCACCACTTACTGTGAATAGACCAAGTCTGGATTGCCCAACTGTCTCTCGTTGTCTCATCCAACTGTCGCTCTGGTGACTCTCGGGGAGATAAACCTCCTCAAGAGCGGAGGAGGTTCGGTGCTTCAGCTCCCCCATGTGAAACCCACCCTATCATGCACCATTCATCCCTTTCACCATCCGATGTTTTTTGTTTTTGTCTATTTATGGTAGTGAAACCGGGGCAGCAGTGATGCCAACACCACTGTCCAGTGAGACTAAAATTACAAGGACAGTTTGGACGGCATAACGACTCAGAACCTGTGTGGCCGGCACAACGACTCTGAGCTATCCTTTTTAAATGACTTTTTTTTGCTCACCTGTGCTCATCCACTGAGAAGGCGAGCTCTGCTCGTGAACACCAGACTGTTTTGAGAGCCACTTGACTGGAGGCGAGGGATTCCTGTTGGCAGATCAAAACTCCACACCAACACCGCCTGAGGTCACATGAACCCCCCAAGAGCACCAAACTTACAGGTCCCAGTGACCCGAAAGGTCGTTCGTAAATTGTCCGAGGGTACAAATCAGCTCAGGAATGAAACATACAAATACAATACTACAGAAATCATGATAAACCCATCAATCCTAGGACCTTAGGGTTTTTGATTCGAGTGGCTCATCTGCCAAGGGTGCTGGGAGATCAAACCTCTGCCGCACCTGGCGTCCAGGATGCCGGGAGATCGCCCAGTCCAGCAGGATCTCCTGGGAGGCTCTAGTCTTTGGGTCGAAAAAGGTCTGCGACCGCTCAACAAATCTTGGGACTTTAGAGGGGCTAATCATGTGCGCAAAGTCATTCAGTATAGGTCTCATCTTCCAGTCCAAACAGCTACATTTTTGTTGGAATCGTGGCCAGTCGTGGTCGAAATTGGCCACTGACTTTCAAAGCAGGAATCCTGTTTCCCTGCATGTGCAACCGTCATCCGCAATCCAAACATCCGTTGTGGAGAATCTTACGTTGCGCGCGACCTCTGACCGAGACTGTAAGGTCTGAAGGACTGCCAGTCAGTGAAAACATGGCAACTCACGTTCTGAACTCCTTAACCAAACCACTTCCTTCAAGATGAAACAATTCCATCCCAAAACTCACCCGAAAAGATCCGAACATCCTCTCAACGTATCTCCTCCAATTCTCATCTTTCCCTCCCCATCTCCTGCACGTTCCACTCATCCCGTGCGGAGCGCCGCTTGCTCTCCGCCCGCTGCCGCTCACTGGCCGCCAAGGGCGGCACCGTGCGCGTCGGCGTCCGCGGCCGCGGAGGCGTGCGAGGTGGTCGGAGCTCGGCTTCGGCCACTGGGGGCCTGCAAAGACGAAAAGTCCGTGTGAAAGGCAAAGACAATTTCAAGGTGTCATCCATTTTCGGTGTGAATGGTTGTGAATGCTGGGATTTTGCCTGGGTTTTCCTTTGACAGGTGGAGTATTGCCCCCAAAGAAGAGCTTATTTGGCGGGAATCCTGCACCTTGCGAAATTCTTTGACGTCGGTACTGGCAGACAACATTGACATATATCTTCAAACATCACTCATCACTCCTTTAGAAACAAATAGATCAATAGCTTCTGATTGCAAACGTCAAGTACATGCCACCGATGAGTATCGTAGGACATCGTAAGTGATAGTCTACTACTCTTAAGCTGACATCCACGAGGAGCGAGATGTGTTGCTCAAGCTCTGATTGAAGGAAGCAACTTCAAACGATCCCCACACAATTACATACATATTAATACTATATACATAGCTCTTTGTCACTTTGTGAATACTCCACAATGTTTGTGCAAACCGATGTCATTCTTCTGAGACGGCCCTGGTGTCCAAACCTGGAGCTGATCGCAGCCTCTCCGCCAGATCCTGCAGACTGCATCAAAACTGAACAGACACTTGCCAACTGCATCCTTACAAGGAGCTTCGGAACCGGGAGCATTTGAGCAGCCACAAAACAGTGACCGACCTCCAAGCCGTTTTCCTGCAAATAGAGGTGAAACCCACACTTTCCGCCTCTTTGCTTAGTGGGGTGTCCCCAAATCCCGCAAGGTTAAAGTATAGGTTGCCCTCCCTCCAACAAACATGGAAGCGGACAAGTCCCAGCTTGTAGAGGATGTCATCTTTCCAAACGCATGCCATCCACGTAACCATGATTGTTTCAGGGAGTGTATCCACTTTTCTGGGTAGGCTGATGAGATTGCTGGGGTGAACTTGCAATCGTGCCAGTACCGACACTTCATTCCCAGCCAGGCAACGGCAAACCTCAAACTGCCAGGTCCCAATAAGGGTCACAAGGCTAATCGGGTCTGCCGTTGGTTCGACCGAGTCTTAGACCTTTAGGAAGTAGACTGCCTACCCACCACGCAAAATACACACAAAGAAAGAACGAAACACACACGCACAAAAGAAAAACACAAAATAATAAATACATGCCAAAGGATGGTTATTGAAATGAACACAACCTAACGGAAAAGACATATGTCAGGGGGGAGTCTACTGTACACCACCCGAACTCGGTGATGCTGGAACATTACTACTAGTAAGGCACTTGTTACTAATAGCGATGCATTTGTTACTAGAAGCTTCTTGTTACTACTAGTAAGGCACTTGTTACTAGTAGCGATGCACTTGTTACTAGAAGCTTCTTGTTACTACTAGTAAGGCACTTGTTACTAGTAGCGATGCACTTGTTTCTACATTAATTCTGCTTTTTCATGTCCCTTTGCTCGATGGATTGCCTGAGCCTCTCCGCAGCTCGTTGAGCTCGGCGAGCGGAGGAGGCTCCCTCCGCGTGACGGCCTCGGTGTTCAGTTCGGTGTTCAGTGATTGGATCTACCCGCATGGCATATGCCTGCTTCTCCCCGAAACCACCCCGATGTTGGTATATATACCATACATGGATGTTCTGTTGGATTGGCTTAAACTTAGAATGGCTTAGATATTGATGGAACTTATATTCACTTATTAGATCTTATTAGTCTATTTGGGGATGGAACAATGATGAAGCATGACCCCTAACAGCGCGACCAGGATTTCCGGATCTTTGGACCAACACGAGTACAGCGACTCTTCCACCATCACGACGCGCTCTTTCCAACACTAAGCGCAACTTGACAAAGATTCTTGGCTGAACAGTGACTTAATGACTTGGCTGTTAGAACTGCACAGCTGGCCTCTTTAGGCTGGCGGAGACCGGTGGATCCCCACCCATGCACGCCCATCGATGGTCCGCGCATGTCGATGGATTTCTTGATCGGGCTGCCTCAGGTTCTCGTTTGGGTAGCAGCGGCTTGCTCGAGGATCCTGGACTCTGACTCTCCTCACTGGGACTCACTGGCTCCTCAGGATTCATCGACCCATGTCGACAAGGCCGGAGAAGTTCACACGGCACGGCCAAGTGAATTCTTTCAGAAATCGCTGATCTGCCAGAAAGGCGGTCATTTTCATTTTCACAAGTTCGGTCAACTGGTTGTTGCATTGTTTGCCCCTTTTTGGAAAGAATCCAATTGGTCCCAAAGTGTATAATTGTTTCAGGCTACACGATTCGAGACAGGTGTCTCCCTGCAGCTCCATCGAATCTGCATGGAGAAAGGACCAAACAAAACGTGCCTCTAAAAAACAAATCAACACTAAACTAGAACCATCCTCAGACTGTTACAACACAAGTTGGTTCATACTCAAGTCAACCATACCCAAATCATCCCTCACCATGCGGGGGCGGCCGCTTGGGCCGCTTGCTCGTCCTTTGTCCCTGTGAACGTTTCAATCGACGAACGGAACAACCTCCAAATTTTGCAGGGGTACTCAGCACGAAATGCAGCAATCTTACATCGTGGCCTTGCTGAACGTCGAAACATTTGGATTAATAGAGCGTATTGCATTGACGCCCCAAAAGCAACAGAAGTATACTGCTTTATTAAAGTATACTTGATAGATCTTGATAGCATTTCCCAACGAAGGAGCGGAGTTAACAAGTATGGAATCGCCACACATGATTCTATCAAAATCCAAAGGAATCCGTGAAGCAACGGTCGACCGAGTCGACCACCGTCCTCCGGTGTGAGATCACGTCCGCATCCCTCGGGAAACATCTCGATGAGCTGCGCCACGAGCGCCTTCACCGCCAAGGCAGTGGAGTGAATGGAGGCCTCACTGTCCTGTTTTTCCGCAGATTTCGCGCGATGGAAGGAAAAAAACCCAAGATGGGAGAAATTGCAAGCCCCAAGGCCCCAAGCTGAATGAAGGCTTTGACGTGCTCTCTGTGTGTGTGTGTGTGTGCCAACCCCTGTTCCAAAGGGCTGCACACCGCTGTAATTTACACTAGAGCATTCTTCTGATATTTGTTCATTTGCACCCAGATCAACACAGCAGGGGGCAATCCCACATTGCAGTCGATTGCCCAACGAAGAGGGCTGCAATTCACCTCTCCACACACGCTGACTACGATCAAGCCTGGATTCAAGAACATTCACACATATTCACGTATGCATTCCGTGATCCAGTGTCTGAAGTCATGCTCATTCACTTGAGCTCTCGTTCTAAGTGCGTGTTTGCTCTTTCTGCTTTTCTGTAATCCTTGGAGCTCCCAACATATTATGCAAAAAACACATCAAACATGTCAGAACCTTGGGCATCCGATCAGGAGAATTGTCAGAACCTTGGGCAGCCCCGGCCGGACATGTGAACCGGTGGAGTTTTCAAAGACCAAGAGACACAGTTTCCGTAGCTCCCAGTCCAAAGGAGTCAGAATCACCATGATTAGCGAGTCTCCACTCGAACGAAAAAAAACAACATGTGCAGCTGTATGATCATGGAAAGCAAACTTGCCGCTTCCCACCCTGCAATTCCAATTTTCTCATCATGTATATAGAGAGAGGGGTTGATATGGGTTGATAGGTAGATGTCTTACGTCCTAATATCATTTCTGAGCTAATAAGATCTGAATCGATCTCAGACCGGTGTTCACTGGCGGAAGCTACCTCTGCACATGGTCTTGTAGGTACTCACCGCTGTACATGGTCTTGCAAAAAAGCAACATGCTCCGCCAACTAGTCATGAGAGGTATCTGGATGGTCTGGAGAGTGGAACTAAACCTCAACGCATCCGCATCCTGTGCCATTCGGCTGTCCTTCAGCAAGGCCCACTGCGCGTGCTCCGCAAAAGAAGGCTTTTGCAGTGCAGCCTGAGGGAAAACCAAGGAGAGCAGTCCAGCTTGCAATCGATCTATCAGCAGCCCCCATCAGTTTTGAGTCCTGGAAAAAGCACGGGTTCACCTAGTTAGGCACGGACCGGTTGGGTGGGTGCATGCACATTTGACGTCATTGTAAACACAAGTCGTAGCAGCTCAAGGTCCACGCATACTCAGGAGTTTTCCCATACATGCTAGTGACTCTGCTAGTGCATGCAAATGCTATGCATTAACGAATCCTCCACCCTGAGAATACCCAGCGTACCCAAGTTGCGTATCCAACTGTTCAACAAAACTAAATGGAGCTTGGATTGTTGCAGAACCTACTCCGAGCTACGCACCACCATATCTGAATCTAAGGGATTTCATTTATATAGATTTCGCTGACGAACCCAATGAAGCCGGCGATGACACTTGTCATCTAGATCTGCCTTTATTGCCAATTATCCTGAGCTGAAATGGTTCAAACAAAAGAAAGGACGCAAGAAGGAAAGAACAAAGAAAGGTCTAAAGAGTCTAAAGGTTCTAAGTGAAACAGCAAACAGTTATTGATACTGTATGATACTTTGTGCATAATCCTGAGTGCGTTCTTATGGAGGTGACCTTGAGCAAGCCATCCAATCTCACTGAAGGCTTCCGCCACACTTGGCCGGATGAAGCACGTGCTTCGATGAAGATGATGAAGCACAGGAATCTATTATAAGCCCAAAATGGTCGCAAATGGTCCAAGGAGGAACACACCGTGTTGCACCATGTTGTTTCTTCACCAACATGAAACTCCTGACTACGCAGATCTACGCAGCTTTCCAGGGGCCATGAAGCAGAAAGAAGTCCTTTTGCACCTTTGTTCCAGCGCAGCATTCTTGCTACTATAGTAGATGCCAGGAGCTACTAGTAGCGTCCTTGTTCTTAGTAGCGCTCAACCAGGACTTCTTCGGCACCCAAGGACTTCTCCGTGGTCGACACTGTGTGCCGCCTCCACCGTCTTCGGTCTTCTGCCGTGGCCTTCCCGTCTGTCGACGTGTCACCTGAGGGAACTGGAAGAGCCCACTGCTCGCGCCACCCGTGCGCATGACCGGGATGATCTGGGCACCACGGCGGAAGGCCGGCTTGACCTGAGGTCGACAAAGAACGGTCCTTTTGAGGTAAGCACCACTTCTAGTGGCAATCTGGAATTTTAGATCAAAGTTGTTGAATTGACTTGAACTGCATACTAAACAACCCAGCAGAAGAGCGCTGAGTTGCTTGCAACCCTGAATTCCGGAAAAGCAGGGTCTGTGAAACCTGCTTCGCAATCCAGTGGGGTCGAATTGGTCGCCGGGTCAGTGGGATCCAGAAATCTGAGCTGCGTGGGGATGATTGTGAGGCTTGGAGGGTTGTACTCTACCTTCTGAGGCTATAAATGGATCGAAAGGAAAAAGAAACTCTGGTACAGGAACTCTAGGTCAACCATGGAGTGGCCATCTTCTTGCTAAAGCTGGTTCTTGCTTGACATCATAGAGCAAGAAAGCAAACTGGAGTGTCCACGTTCGCTGCAGCTTTTCGGCAGTGACTGGACCTGAAAGCAAACTGCCATAGAAAGAACGGTGGGCTGTGGCATCAGCGTTGAATACCTTCACTTATGCTAGTGACAGTGCTCCGCCAAGAGGGAAGATATTTGAGAAACGCACAGGAACCATCTGCAGAGATTGGCAACATGAATCGATAATTACTCGGAATTGCCGAGAGTGATGGAAATGATTCGAAATGCCAACCACCTACCACCCTGAGAGAAACCAACCACTCAGGCCAGCGCGTGCACAAACACATAATTGTTTCCATGCTACTGTACATATTCCTGGAGCTTTGCAAGATACATTTGAGCCTCGACCAGAAACGATGCAGCCTTTATGCAACATGATTTAACACCCTGAGAATAGCTCAAGGTAGAATAATGTTGACTTGAGTCCTCTTCACTTGGTAGTTATGGATTGCAGTTTGCAGTCCTTCCTTTGCTCAAAAAAACCCTTGCTGTGGGGATGGATGAACCTGGCAAGAGCAAGAACCATTCTTAAGATACAGGCAAGTAAAGAATACCTAGGACCTAATGATAAACGCCATCTCGTGGAAAGAGAATGTGTCTCAAGGTCCTATTTAGGCAGTACTGTGGCATTTGTCAATGTGTGTCAGCTCGTCAAAGAGTGTCTGGACCGTTCATAATGAACACGGTTGGGGAACATTACAAGATCTTTGGATGATTGAGCCTGGCTAGTTTTAATGGAGGAAGTTGTCTAGGAACTATACACCCATCTAGTTAACACCCCAAACAAAACGCTAATTTATATATATAATGCTTTCTCCGGCCTGATGATGAGGAGGGTCAAGTGGAGACTTTATGGATTACACATGATGAACACATATTATGAAAACATATGTGAAAGCCCCGTTCATCCCGTCGATCCATCCATCCATCCATCCATCCATCCATCCATCCATCCATCCCGTCGTTTGAGACTTTACACTCCAAGACACTTGTGCTGCGACATTCGGCCCTCCTTCCAGGACCAAATAGATATCGCCAACCAGGCTGAAGATTGCCTGGTCAAATCGGGCGCGGAAAACCCCCCAAAGGGATCGGGTTCTCTTTTTCACGTCCAGTCCACAGGATGTCCACTTCATACGATGTTGGTTTAATCATGGATCACAGAACCAAAAGTTGCGTGGAGGTGGCTCCAAACCCGAACTGTGCAGTGTAGTCTCTATTACGGGAGTGTCATCTGAAGCCCGCTGTGGTTTCCGACCACAGCCAAGTCAGTAAATCTCCAAACAACATCACACGAACAGTCTCAGGGATGTTAGCATAAGGACTTCCAGTTTTCAACCCTTTGGAAGCTCTGGGTCTTCTGTGCTATCATGCGCTGTAAGGGCACCGCGGGATTCGCCCCTGCAAGGGCACCGCACCAACAGAGTCTCCAGGGACAAATGTCTTGAACATCTTAGCCTTACACCCGAAACAGCAGCAATCAGGACCCAAACACCACGAAAGACAAGGATAATATTGAAGAAACCAATCCAGCTAACCCAGCGCCGGCCCTAAAGAAGTCCCACCCCCATGGGCAAAGCCTTCTAGTTTAAACATGTTTAAACTATATCTTGGCTACACACCAATTTCTTCAGAGTCCACTCATGTCCCCCTGCTTTGGGGGACCCCAAATCTGCATAATTACGGAGCAGCGGTGGATTCAAGTGGGCAAACATGCTCAAACGATTCGAGCACTTATATCATCTACACTCTGAAATCCATCAGACCATCATGGAGGAAGTGGATGGAACATCAGGCCCCCCCAAATTTCGGATCACCATGACATCTGAAGACCGAACAGGTGGTGGTGCTAACCACAAAACCAGAATTTTAGGGAGTGGTATCCAGTAAAAATGCCAAGAAATTCCCCAGTTTCGTGGCTTCAGACAAGAAACCTCCGACACCCGAAAAAACAAACACACATCTGCATCACATGCTCTTCAGCTACCTTGCGCTCCTTGACGTCCTTTCCCGCCAGTAGCTCGCGGCCAGGCCAGCTGCAGGCCTGTCGCTTCGTCGCTTTGAGCTGCCCCAGCGAAGAGGAAGAACCCTCCGAAGGGAGGTCGCGGAGAGAAGACATACCCGACCTTTGCTCCTCGTAGCGTTCTTGCTACTAGTATTAAGGCTAGGAGCCCTTGGTAGCTTCTTGTTACTACTAGTAAGGCACTTGTTACTAGAAGTAATGCACTTGTTCCTAGTAGCGTCCTTGTTCCTAGTAATAAGGCCAGGAGCCCCGAACGTAGCGTCCTTGCTCCGTTCGTAGCGATGCCCTGACCGCTCCCTTCGTAGCGTCCTCTACCCCAGGGTCGGGTCGTGAGCAACTCCTGACTCCCTCAGTTTCCCGAACGAAGAAATAGGTTAAACAGGTTCACCGTTAAACCTTTCTCCCATCTGTTCATAAAGGTTGTCCCCTCACTGGGTAGGACTCTAGAAGTGTTCAAGCTATTTCAAGCTCACCCAATGTTGTGAACTTTTGTTGAAAGTTCATAAAGCTTCTCATGCTCAGAGACTCGACAGAACGTTTTTGAGCGAATTCACATGTCCGTGTGCTTGAAGAAGTGGGTCCAATCGAAAAGAGTTTGCGGGTATAGGAAACAAACGCATCAACAGGCTCGTAGAACAACCATGATGAACATCAAAAAGGCTCCAAACTACAGTAGCTCCCCGAATGGAGTCAAACAAAAAACGACCTCAAGTGCCTTATTAAGTAACAAGTGCCACGCTACTAGGAACAAGTGCCTTATTAGTAGTAACAAGAAGCTATTAAATCTATTTTAAGTTAATTCTAATAGCCTCTTTGTTACTACTAGTAAGGCACCTGTTACTACTAGCGAGGCACTTGTTACTACTAGGAAACAACACCGACCAATTCGACTGTTTTGTCCGATCCCTCCAGTTGAATTCTTTGGCTTCCGCTTGGAGCGAGCGGGAAGCGGGCGCAGCGGGTGCGGACAGGTTGTCATTGACAAGCGACGTGTGGAGCGAAGTGTTAGTTGTGAACAGGTGAGCATGGCACCATATGGCACTCTCAGACCTGGATGATGACCAGTGGGGATTACATATAAAGCATCAAAATCCATCAAGTATGTTCGGGATTCTACTAGACGGTGATGTCGTAGCTCAGGTGGAAACAGAAAACTGTTTGGGCACGGCGTCGCGTGCGCGGTAGAAGCGCCTGTCCGATGGGCACCAAGTGAACCATCTGCAGTCCTCGAGTTGGGCGGGTCGAGAGACATCCAATCCTCATCTTGATCGTGAATAGCAGTCTCTATGTATGGATATAGTGTTCTTGCTCCTGGTAGAAATAGTCAGCATGGACACTTTTATCCAAAAGGCTCCAAACCAACTTCGGGTCGTCGAAACCCACTCGGCTCTGGGCTTGGGACATGTCGCAACATGATTGGAAAGAACCTTAAGGTTTGAAAACACATGGGCAACAGTTTTTCATGATTGAGGTGGTTCTGAGATGTCCTGGATCCAGTGGTCTCACCATCCTTGAGTGAGAGAACCTGCATCTCATCAAGACCATGCTCGGACCCTCGGGCCCTCAAGGTTTGATCCCCAGGGCCCATGGGGTCTCCTGAGCATATCGATGGCCCCCGGGCCGTCCTAGGCAGAGCCCCGGTACGTGACTAGCACACCCCATAGATCCTTTGGGATGTAGGAAATTCTGGAAATCTCTACCTGCCGCAGTTCATCAGTTCATCTGGATACATGGTTTGACCATCCACAACCTTTGTAGGTCGCCAGTCCAATAGATCTTGGTGCGGCTCGCGATGACTATTTACATGATTTTTTTATTTCAACATGGCTGAGATTGATTGATATTTGACTTTTAAGCCATGGAGCATGGAGTGAGCCTACTTTTTCTGCACCTCAATATGTCTGTTGGTATTAGAAACATATTGAAGCACATCTTCAACGCGGCAGCCCAACCGCCTCCCTGTCACCGACCAACGCACCACATCGACGCGTCGACGCGGCCGCGGAGCCGCCCCCCTTGGCCGGGAAGAGTGGGTGAACCACTGGGACACCCACCAGCGATCACTCGTGGGAACTGCCTGGATTGGGTTGACTGAGGATTAGACCTGGCATCAGAAGCACTGTCGGTGCCGCACCAGGAATGTCCCACGGAAACCAGCACAACACATCGCACCCACACATCTGTTCCGCATGGATTGATGCGAATGGACGGATTGATGCGAATGGATGGCAGGTCATTCCACCGTTTGTCTAGTAGGTTGGAGGCCATCGCTAGTAGGTTGGAGGCCATTGCACTGTTCACACCTTGACTGGCTTCGCTCAAAGGTGGCCCCACCCGCACACCACAATCAATTGTCAACAGCTACACACACAAATAGAAAACACTCCAATGTCAGGTAGGAACATGGTCAGAATGATTCATTGTTGACTTGAAGTCACATGGTAACACATTCCAGTTTCCACTGCTGTCCTTCACTCTGCCGCATAAAGGCTTGCTGAACGCCTCGGCGGCTGCATTTAGCCGCTCTCTATGGCTCTCTGGATCAACGAATCAAAACCCCAAGCAATCCCGAGAATTGTGTGCATCCTTGAGATTCCTTGAGTTCAAAAACACCACTCGTGGAGGATCATGAGTTAGTGGTCTCTAACAGAGCCGCACCTGTTGGATTTGAGTGGGGTGTCCCCAATCCCCACCACAGGTAAGAGCTTATCCCTGGGTCGGCCAAGCCGTTTGTGATGCTTGAACGGACCGGATCACGTCTTCACCCTTGGTGGTTTCCCGGGATACTTTCCTTTAGAAGCACTCAGTGGATCTACTCACACGGATTTTCAATACCAAAAGGGGTATCGGTATATAGATCTTATGAGCCCATTCCACCAGTAAGGGCAATGTTGACCACATGCGGCACGTGCAGGTTTCAGTCCCATGACATCAAAGCTCATCTGACTTTTGCACCCTGAGAGTACCTCCCTGCGTTGAGAGTGAGGAGCGCTTCACCCCTTGAACTGTCGACCCTTACCTCCTCGAGGTTTCGGCAAGCCAGAGAAAGAGCGGACCGACTTCCAATGAAGTCTTGGTGCAAAACTTTCTCAAGATAAGATGAAAGGACGGGATGTTTATAAGTGTCCCTGACAACACCACTTACACTATGAATACCGAATCCAAACATCCTTTCGATCAAAATGAGGACACAGCTTCGGTTTTCAAAGGTTCTCATATGTTCTCAGCCTGTCTAACCAAAGAGAGCAAGGACCCACCAGGCCAGGATAGGCCAGCGTTTGCAGGCCAGGAACTTGAACACTTCTCTAAACGATGCGAGTGATGAAATCCAGCTGTTTGCCATCCAAAAAAAGGGACTGTAGGCCCCTCCCTATGGCTCATTTCACTCATTGGCTTAGAAGAGCTTGGACTCTCCCAACTCTTGCATGGCCGCCCGTGCCGGCCCGGTGACCCAGCGCCAGGCGTGCAGCATTGAACAAAGGGGCCTGGCATTCCCTCGGTAAAAACCACAGGGGGCTCCTCCAACTGAGCCAAAGCCTTGGCAATGGCGCCCGCCAGCTGCTCCGTCTCCGACCTGCAGTCGAGTCGACATGGAGCGATGGATGGAAGCCCATGAAGGCGAGTCTGGCTGTGAGAATGAGGACAAGAAACATGGCTTCCATGTTTCGTATCATATTTCATCATATTTCTGATCAACGAGAGGCCAATTCGCCACACCGAAACGGGAGGTACATTTCGGGTGAAAAGGAAGCGGATGGAGCGCGGTCCTTTGGATGGAAGTCCCGCCCAGCACGCACAAGCGAAGGCACCGGTCTGGCAGCTCCTCAAGTGCAATGCGCTGACAGTGCGGTCAGGGGAGACTCACCATCCAACTTAGAAGCTTTAGAATTGCGAATGGTGATGTTGGGGAAAGTCATTAGAACAAACACACATACACAAGCACAACGCAAAAAAACATGCCAGCTGGCTTACATGATTTTGGGACTTGTAGCCATTGGTAGTAGATCATTCGTGCAATACAGTAAGCCTCCTTGGATTGAATCGGTTGCCAACTTAGCTACATTGCTCGCCTCCAGGATTTACCGAGCATCAAGTAGTAGAAGTATGAATGGGAATCTATAGATACTCGATCAATGCTCTCAGGGCAGTGCATTCCTCGATCTCCGAAGAAGCATTCAAACCAACAGTAGTGGCACGGAACAACACAACATGTACCGCGCTGCACCCCCCAGATACATTTGGAAGCATCGGGTGTAGTTTACAAACACCCTGGTGCTTGAAATCGTAATCGTATCTGGAGACGCACACCAAAAGCATCCAAAAGCTGGCCTTCAGCCTGCTCTAACTAAGTCCTTATGCCAAGTCTTGAGGCCATGCAAATTCTCTGGTCTTGAGTCTTGAGATCTTCTGCAACATGAAACAAACGTTCTCAAAGAAGCCAAAAGCATCTGAATTTTCACACCACCTAGTGAACTCCCGCTTACTCACCGCTGCAAGCCCATTCAGCCAATTCCTGACGCTCGAGCCAGAAATCCCTGAGAAAGGTCAAGGTGAACCGAACCTCCCACCTGTTCGCTTTTGGGGAAATCCCCAACTCTCACAAAAGGTGACCGATCCAGGTGATCCACGCACGTTCTGGGAGAGAAATGGGTGAGACCCAGAACTCCCAAAGTGATCCGCATTTTTTCCTGGGTAGTGTGATGAGATCCACAACTCCCTAAAGTAAAAATGCATCAGAGATCATGCCAGTACTGACTGGGGAGAGAGATTCTGTGTCTGACCCCCAAGCCGGACATCCCTGGAACATAAAGGTGAATCGAGCTTTCCACCAGTTCGCAACCACTGAAGCCATATCTCGTGATGGCCTCACTCAGGACAGATAGTGAACAAGAGCTTCTAAGAGACAAGAAAACAACACCACAAATTAAGCAGCGTAGTCCAAACAGAAGTCCCAAGTCTTCAGCATACCTTAGACTTTCCGTGTCCCCCTTTAAACAAAATGGAAGGTTGTCCACTTTGAAAACAGGGTAGGCTAAACCGTTTGTGGGACCGGATCACAGGGATCATCGGGTTCCAGCTTCCGCTTTCCGCACCGCGTTGCTACTGGGATCTTACAGCAAACAGAGTAACTGAGCAACTATAGATCTTATAGTCCATGTACCCACAAGTCCCACAAGTAACAACAACAAAAGAGATGTCAATTTTTCCTTATATGGTTTCTTGTTTTCTGGTTACCTACAAGATCCTACAAGTAATGGGCAATGTTGACCGCATGCGGCACGGAATCTGAAAGCTGTCCAAGAGTCTGCGATCACGTTCTCCAGGCCGTCGATGCATGCAGTCGTCGTCGCCATGGGGACTCGTTGGGAAGGACGGAGGGGACAGCTGAGCGAAGACACAGCTGAGCTCTTTCTCTTCGGAGCTTAGGCTGGAATGTGTGGTTGTTGGCTGCTGTCATTCTTAGCTCATGTGGTGAGGTGAAACTTATACTCTAAACTTTTTGTCTACTGATTCACCTGGACTCATATGTCGATCAAGTGGTTGAGATATGTTGAGAACAACCATGTCAGTGGGGCTCGTCAACCCAGGACTGATAATTACTAGTAATCTACAGTAATTATGTTGCTTCAGAATTGCCTGCATGTTTTCAGAAAGTGTGGCCACATGTTGGTTGTTCGATTGTTAAACTAAAAATTGCCGGCTGACTAGTGCAACTGGAGACCCATGTTCTAGACGTGTCGGGGTGTGAGACCGACCATGTTCCGGAAATCCGTGGAACATAGCTTCTTGTTACTACTAGTAAGGCACCTGTTACTACTAGCGTGGCACTTGTTACTACTTTATTCGATCGTCTGTTTTTTGGTGGGGAAACCCCAAATTTTTCCCCACAGGTGATCTATGATATGTTACTTTCCTCAAAAAGGATGCAGGGGTCTCAAGGGCGAAGTCCGGTAGCGACTGCCCTGCCAACGGAGACGACCGAGCGCGAGGATGAGCGTGGTTTCGCAGCAATTCTCTGTGTTCCGCTAGCATGCACCGATACTGAGGAAAATGACCCTGGTCTACCAGCTTCTTCAGTACGTGACCTTTTTGGAGTCCCGACCAGTGATGTTTTACGGGCTCCTTTGTGACCTCAAACTTGGGGGTCAAAAGGTCACTGTGAAGAACCATGGTCTAGATCCCTTAGAAAAGAGAAAGCTTCAGGAGACTCGGAGGCATGTTTTATCACCCCATCCACGTGAACTCCAAAAGAAAAGGGGTGCTGCCCCACTTGAGAACAGTATAACGGAACAACGTCCTTCGACAAAATAAATACTGTACTTGCAGGTGCTTATGGAGCAGGAGGTTTGACGAGGGCATTCTTATAGGAAGATTGATCGAAATACCAAGACCGCAGGAACATGTTCGCAGTTTTGACCTGTCCGGAAGCAAGGGGTAGGGAGGAATGAATGTGCTGAGGAAACAACCGAATAGACTGGAGGGACAGTTATATAGACGATTCAAGCTGGAGGACTGCTGTGCAACCAGTTGGCTCCGTTGGAGAGCAAAGAAGCTGCCCAGGAGTCCAAGGAATGTCCTATGCTTACTCCGAGGTAGTTCTCAACTCCAAACCACCCAATTGATTCCAAGGGCCCCTCTGTACCTCTCTGGCCCCCATGTGCGAAGGCTCTCACCATCGGCCATCACTGCATGCCTCTCAAAATTCAGGAGCACCCAAAGACACACATTAAATTAAATGAAATTGTAATTAGACTGATAACTGTCAGACTACATTGTAGCAGGATGACATTGGCAGGCTCAAAATCTCATTATATAGTGTCTGTCTTTTTATGTGGGACAAAGCCTTCATCCTTGTAGGCCTCAGGAATTTCCGACCCTCTTCGGAGCAAAAGGCCTCATGAGAATCCCTGGTGGTGGCATGCACTTGTTGGAACCAAAAGCACCTTTCATGTCCGAAAAATGAACGGCAGAATGGATGCGATGGGTAAGACTTCATGGCTCTGTGGGAACGATCTCGTTCAAACGCAATCGATCTTGAAGGCCCACCTCACTTAATTGTAAACCGTTGATGAATCATCCCACCATTTGGATTGAGCAACCTCTTCATGAGGGGGGGTTGTTATTCTAGTGTCAACAAATCTCTCACTTCTTCTCACTTAATGACCGTTTAAGTGAACCCAAATCAATGCCGTTGCATGCGTTTCTGGAACTGATCTACCCTACCTGGGTCGATTGGTCGCTGGATGTGGGTTTACCTCGGGCGCCGGGCGAAGGTGGCTGAAGAGCGCTCAAGGCGGACAAACCTTGACCCAGCTGTGCTAGCCCAGCAATACCTGGCAGTGTTGCGAAACCCATTTTGAGAATTAAGTTCAAATTGGTGACTCCAACGGCCGTCTTCACGGCGCACGTCTAGTTTATGTCTCAATCTCACCTTCGAACCTCCAAAATAAGAGAAGGACTGGGAGATTCCATACCAAGCGATTCCCATTTCTCCCAAACATACCAGTTTTCCAAAGGCTACAGAACAACTGTCCACGAACTGAGTATTGTTCAAACTTCTCCAATACTCTGGCCTTCAGGTTGGTACATCTGGTTTCTAGGGACATGTAGGGACCAATGTTTGAAAGATTTTCAAAGTATCCTGTAGGTAGAATTGGATGTTGCAACCGGTGTTTGCTGTAGAAATCCTGTTCCTCCTGGAAGACCTGGCCTGTCGTCAATTCTCCAACCCCCCTCGAAAATCAGAAGTCCTAGACCAGTCCAGAGCCATCCACTCGGCCGAGTGGCTCAGGTTCTTGGTCCCACCTGCAGGCCTGGCGAACAAAGGGCAGCTCACTTGGTCCCATGAAGAACCATGAAACCTAAGGAGTTGGTTCAGGGTCTCTTTAAAAAATATCATTCGTGACATATCATATCAGGTGTGAAACCCAACATATTAACACCTCTCATATCTGTGGTGGTGCCATGGTCAAGTTACGAAGTCCCCTATTTTTTTCAGGGCCTTTGTCTTTCCACATGTGTTTTGCATTCCAAGCAGGAAATGAAACTTGAGAAAACGGGGGTAGCGCAGCAACAGTAGCAGCCGAGCAGCAAACCAGAAGCAGCAACACCCGCAAGCCAGCAGCAGCAAAGCAGCAAACCAGAAGCAGCAACATCGGCAAGCCAGCAGCAGCAAAGCAGCAAGCAAAAACAAACAGCAGCAGGCAGCAACAGCAGCAGCAGCAGCAGCAGCAAAGCAGCAGAGCAGCAAGCACCGGCAGGCAGGCAAACAGCAACATGTGGTACGAGCGTAGTGGGAGTGTGCGCATGGTGGAGCAGCCGCATGGGAGGTCAGAGGCAGCGGGCGGGTTGGCAAGTGTTGTTCCCAGTGTTTGTGGTTGTAGAGTCTGGACCAAAGTGTTTTGTGAGCTGCTTCTCGTAAGTGGCATGTGGCAGGTGGAAAGGAATGACTTGGTCGAAGTGGGGGCGTGTGAGGTGTGTAAGCCAGCGTTGTGTTGTGGTGTGGAAGGCGGGGTGTGCCAGGAAAGGAATGGGAAGTCTCTTGATGAAATGCTTCCATTGACGATGTTTCCGCTCTGCCAACACCCATTTGGCTTGCCCAGAGCCGCACCTGCACTGTCCTTGTTATACGCATCTGGACTTCTTGGCCTGTTCATCGGCCTCTGAAACTGCCAGAGCCAGCGTGAGTGGATCTCATTCGCGGCCTCGGAGGCAGCCTGCTTGGCAATGGCTTCTGCACTTGTTGCACCAGCCCTTGTGCCAAGCTGCGCTTCTGGGCCCTTCCGGGGCCCACCCGCACACTCACACTCTCGATATTGCGTACGGAATGCCACGGTAAAGCGGTCTGATCATGAAAGCCTCCATGAATCCCAAAGATCTCAAAGTACACAAAGTTCTCAAAAAATGTTCTCGAAGGCTGAAAGCGACAAAGTGCGTGACTGCCAAGTGCATAACAGAACCAAAGGCTGGTCAGCTTGTTCTAGTTATGAACGGGGCCCAGTGGGAAATGAGAAGTCATCACGAAGCAGGTACGTCATGAGGTGTCCCTGGTGATATCCTAGGAGCGTACGAGGAGCTTCGTTGGATGGAGCCTCATACGTCCTCTCCATCCCCCTGCTTGAAAATAACCGCAAGGTTCCCTGTGACTCCAAAGGATACAGGCACACACACACACACCAAACAACCAACCAACCAACCAACCAACCAAACAAACAAACAGCCGGCCCCCACCCAAATCCCTTCCGGCGCCTGGCGGCAGAGGCAGACGGAACCCCCGGCTTTCGCAGCGCCGTGGCGTTGGCCAACGCAGGCGATGCTTGGGTGTCCTGCGGAATGGCTCAACGAGAGGGCCGGGGGCACTTCCTGGGCTTTCCTACAAGTTCAGTCTAACCAGGTCCAAACCTGGTCCTGAACTTCTCAGTAAGATTGTATTTTGTATGACCTCCAGCTTTGCATGAGGTCAGTTGCTGACCTATAGGGACATCTCCATTTGCACCCCAGCCACGGGAGTCACTCAAGGCACGGATCTTCCACTCGCCGCTTTGGTCCACGGCCAGACGCGGTGTGACCGGCACATCTCAGAGGCGACTCCGTGCACCTGCGTCCGGCGTCCAGAGACCCTTCTCACGTCCACTCTTGCCATCCGGAGGTGCGGATGTTCGGTCTGAACACGGTGCCAATGCGTTTAATCAACCAATGTTGAGATCGGGAGAAGTATTTATGTGATATTTGACATCTGAAAGCATCATCACATCTTGAAGCACTGTCATCTGCTTATATCCGCAATGCCGGCCGTCAACAAGGGGCACGTTCTTTTTGGGGGGAAGACGACCTAATCGCGGGGTCTTTTGCGCGAGCTTGTAGATGATTCGATGATCATCTCCCACTCTCCAGGATGATAGAACTCAAGATATACCTAAGATGTAGGACTTCCATGGAGTTGGCACTTTTTAAAAGCATCTTTTTTCAGACCCCATGGCACTGAGTGGGTACACTCCGTTCGTTGGGCACCCCGACATGGAACTGCTGGAGATAGAAACAGATGTTTGCACCGACAACAGTTGTCAAAGCCGTGAAGAAATCACAACAAATGGTCAACTTACCCAGGACTTCTGGGTGAAGGATGCTGAAACAGTCCGATCCCACATTGAGTCTCGAAAACCCTCAAACACTACATCATCCCACAAAAAGGTACTGGGTTGAGTCTCCCTAAAAATCTAGGAACCGAATGAATAGTGCGAGGGCTTCTTCAACGAAGCTCCCCCCGCCCTCAGGCGAACGGAGCTTCCTTGAAGAAGCGTGAGCTATCCTGCGCCCTAAGTAGTAGCTTACTTTGTAGGTACCAGCTACCTCTAGCTACTACCTCTACCGGCCTAAACCCCGGCTTTAAAATGGGTTACAGTATG